GATGGAGAAGTGAGAGACAACTGGAGATCTGTTCCATCCGCTTTCTCACATTGAGCGACTTGGGGCTGTGGCCAGGAAAAGCCTCCACATGGCGAACACTGCACTGGGCCACTGGTCTACGGAAACGGCGACAAAGAGAGGCAGTGCCAGAAGAGATCCAAGTACGAGTGCCAATTCTGATTTTGATTTCCCAGGTTTGAGCTGGGTTCAGCAGCTTCAGTATGATGACAAACTGCATCTCCAAGGATCGAAACTCCAAGCAAGTGCTCAAAACCAAACATGCAGGAGGGATGTGGTCCGCGCATGTCTGCCATATTAGCAGAATATGGAGACCATTTTCGAGGCAAACGCCCTCAATCTCGGCTTTCGAGCTGTTTCTTTGAGCTCTGTCTCTCAGGGTGAAACACTGTTCACCATTTCCCTCCTATGTACACTCCCGGCTGATCATGGGGATCTTTGGATGCGTGAAACACTTTTGGATGCTTTGGGAAAGTGTGGATCGACAAAGGAAAATCCAAGGTTTCACCTGCCAGGAAAGGTGGAAACAGCACCACACATTCTAAGATCCTAGAGTGACACCTTCCGGAGAAGCGGACACATAATTTGTTCTCGGATGTTCTCGGTGTGTTCTTTATACTCACTGGCCTCTGTCAAAGCTCTCAAACTTAAAACAAGTCGAGATCATCCTTTCCCCCCACCACTACTCACAAAGCTTGCGGGGGGAATCATCCAGAATCAGATCGAGGAGGGGTGTGTGCGTAACCCTTGGAATCAAAGGGAACCTTAAGGTTTGGAACAGGGGGACGGGACACCTCTGGCATTTCCCGTCCAACGAAGAGGATGCCAGCAGGTGCTGATACAGTGGGGGACGCCCCACTGTGTACCTGTTCCACTACTTAGGAGAACAGGAGGAAATGGTACTCGACACACTTGTGTGTCGGTGCCTTTCCTTCTGTTCTCCTCTAGACTACCCTATATGTTGCAGGTAGGCCTCCAAACTTTGTAAGGGGTTCTTTAACCTGAACTTGGGCCTCCACCCACTAGAATGGACCCCCAACTTTTGCTGCTTTGCTGTCTTGTTTGTCTTGTGCTTCTTGTCACCTACTAGCGATGGCCCCCAACCTGCCTTCGACGGCCTCCAACCTAAGAGCGAAGACCTCCAACTTTGACCGCTTTGCTGTCTTGTGGTTTCTTGTCTCCAACCTACTAGCGATGGCCCCTCAACCTGCCTTCGACGGCCTCCAACCTAAGAGCAAAGACCTCCAACCTTGACTGCTTTGCTGTCTTGTGGTTTCTTGTCACCAACCTGTTAGCGATGGCCTCTCAACCTGCCTTCGATGGCCTCTAACCTAAGAGCGATGACCTCCAACTTTTGCACCTTGTTTTACTCAGGTCTTTTTAAGCCTAGGTTGGCGTGTGGCACCGCTTTCACTTCAGTACACCCTATCCTAAGTGTGTTTAGCTTCGCGCCAACCCGGGATGAGCCCGTAGAGTGCCTCCCGTGGACCCGTCGAACGGGGGTTTGTCGTTATCTCCCCTGCCCGGAGATGTAAGTGTCCGGAGCGGACAGCAGATGGCTTACGCCACAAGAAGTGGGATGTCTGTCTCATTTTTGGAATTCTAAGTTGGCTCATGCCTTTACGTGACCGCAGCGGTCAGAGGTGGCCGCCCGCGGGCATGCCGTACGTGGTCGCCGCGACCGAAGTTTGTTCAAGGCTCATTGGAACCTGTCGCGAGCTTACCCCCCCCCTTCCCCTTCCCTCCTCCTTTCTTTCTTTGCTTTTTGGGGTTTTCCTGAGTGCAATACTCAGGATCACCCCTTTCTTTCTGTGGTGTGTCCCTGGACGACTGTTCGTAGCTGGGAGCACCTGCCTTTTCCTTTTCTCTCCTCTCCCTTTCTCTCCCTCTCTCTTTCTTTCCTTCTCTCTTTCCTCTCTTCACCCTCTTCCTTGGGTGTCCCTGGATGCTTCGTCATAGCTGGGAGCCCTTCCTTTTTGGTGTGTCCTTGGACGCTTGTGTCGTAGCTGGGAACACCTGCTTCCTTCTCTCCCTCCTTCTCTTTTCCTCCTCCCCTCCCCCCTCTTTCCTCGCGCGCGGCGTGTTTACAAGCAAACTAGGCTTCTGCAACAGGTTTTTCTAATGAGGTTTGGGCTGTCATCGGTTTGTCCCCGTTCATTTGGTTTGCCTTTCATCGGCCCCCACCGACATCTTTTTTCCTTCTTTTCTTTCATGTCTTTTTGTCTTCATGTCTCTTCACCCTCATCCTTTCTTTCTCTTGCGCGTACTTTCGTCCGGACCTTAGTTTGCACACATACACGCACGCGCACTCTACTTACAACGAGGTTCAGGTGGCCCAGGTTCGTTACAATGAGGTTTGGCTCATCGGTTGTCCCTCTTCGCTTGGTTCCTTTTCATCGGCAACCACACACACCTTTGTCTGTCTCGTCCTTTTCATTTTCATCTGTCCCTTTTGCGTGCACATGTGCCCGCCTCCTTTCCGGGCAGGATGGAGGCCACACACGCCTCCCTTCGGGGAGGCGTGTGTGTGTAACCCTTGGAATCAAAGGGAACCTTAAGGTTTGGAACAGGGGGACGGGACACCTCTGGCATTTCCCGTCCAACGAAGAGGATGCCAGCAGGTGCTGATACAGTGGGGGACAGTCACGCCCCAGTGTACCTGTTCCACTACTTAGGAGAACCGGAGGAAATGGTACTCGACACACTTGTGTGTCGGTGCCTTTCCTTCTGTTCTCCTCTAGACTACCCTGTAGGTTGCAGGTAGGCCTCCAAACTTTGTAAGGGGTTCTTTAACCTGAACTTTGGCCTGCACCCACTAGAATGGACCCCCAACTTTTGCTGTTTTGCTGTCTTGTTTGTCTTGTGCTTCTTGTCACCTACTAGCGATGGCCCCCAACCTGCCTTCGACGGCCTCCAACCTAAGAGCGAAGACCTCCAACTTTGACCGCTTTGCTGTCTTGTGGTTTCTTGTCTCCAACCTACTAGCGATGGCCCCTCAACCTGCCTTCGACGGCCTCCAACCTAAGAGCAAAGACCTCCAACCTTGACTGCTTTGCTGTCTTGTGGTTTCTTGTCACCAACCTCCTAGCGATGGCCTCTCAACCTGCCTTCGATGGCCTCTAACCTAAGAGCGATGACCTCCAACTTTTGCACCTTGTTTTACTCAGGTTTTTTAAACCTAGGTTGGCGTGTGGCCCCGCTTTCACTTCAGTACACCCTATCCTAAGTGTGTGTCTGGGGTGCAGGTTACGAGTTCTCCTGCAGCTGGTGGCTCACAGCCAGTGTATTCAATCCTACATACTTGTATCTTGTAATGTCGCTCACATTCTCATTCCTTCAATTGAGCGCAGGTTGGTCAGGGGGAGGAAGTATATATATATATATTGTAATTATACATCAGAACGCGTGGCCTCTCATCAAGTTGCATACAATCTCCGCTTCCATCCTGCCCTACTTCTAGGCTGCCCATTTTAGGCAGCAAACATGGGCGAAATCGTGTGAACGATCCATCCGGATTGCTTTTACAGGGCAATTCAACTTTCATCCCCGTCATGTCCAAGACAGGGCTCAATTCAGGTAGCTGCCTTGGACCAGAAGCTGTTGTCAGCCACCGCAGTGGTCGAGCCCTGACCAGACGAATGCAACACACACGTCACATCCGAGAACATACGACGCCGTTGGGGGATTTGCAGACGATAACTCGGTTGAATATATAAGTGAAGATTTGCCGACTCCACTAGTAGCAAGAAGCTAGTAGGTTGGAGGCCATCGCTATTAGGTTGGAGGCCATCGCTATTAGTAGCAAGAAGCTACGGTATAGACAGCATACCCTGCAAAAAATTGATGCTAGGAGCAAGAAGCTACTAGAGCAAGAAGCTACTAGGAACAAATCGCTACTAGGAGCAAGGACGCTACTTACTAGTAGCTCCTGGCCTTACTACTAGGAACAAGAAGCTACTAGGAGCAAAAGGCATCGCTACTAGGAGCAAGGACGCTACTAGAAATGGATGCACAATGGCTGGGGAAGCTGGTGAGCTCAAGCGCACCCACTTGGAGGTCCTGAAGAGGGGAGAGCCTTGAGCCTTTTGAGGGAACGTGGTAACGCTGGGCGAAAATTAAGTATCTTTTAGGGTGATCATGTGGGAAAAGAACAAGAAATTGTTCTGCAGCGATGAAATCCGGAGGTACCGCGCATGGTCACTCAAAATTCATCTGCCCAATCGCTCGCAGCAGCTTTTACATTGGAGTTCATCTTCTACTACAAGGCTGGGAATTGGTTTGGAGGCTTCGATGGACCCAATGACATCTGTGCCTGCATGTTGTAGGCCAGGTCCTGCAAAAGGGCTGAAGGTCGGAGAAGTTGTTTCACAAGCCAGGCCGGGCTGGAAGTGGGAACTGTCGAAACTTCGCTGCATGGTGGAAGTACAAATTTCGCTGACGAGGTCCGGTCCGAAACTGTCTCCGAATTGGCAAAACAAGGAAAAACTAGTCCTGAAGTATAGTAAACAAACAAAAAACATCCCCCCCTTCACCTCTTCATGCCAGAAGTCAAATTTCCATAAGTTTCCACGTGATGAAAGGAAAGTACATCTTCGGCAATCTTCAGTTGTTTGGACCTCAAACGCTCCACCCCGTCAAGCCAAACAGCATAACCCGCCAACCCCCCTGAACTCCCCAGCTCTCCTCCGTGGTGCGGGTCTTCTTCTTGCTTTGACTGCACAGGTGTCTGTCTTCGTTGATTGGTGTTCGTCAATTCTATCTGATAGTGTTCTTTGTTTGGGGAGATGGTCTTCAGAACCAGAACAGAGCGCAAACCTTGAGGGCAAGTTTGGTATATCAACTACGGGTCAGTATGCCATTGAATCTTAAAGACTTGTACAGTTCCTACCTCGAAGCAGTTCTGACGTAACACTGCCAACCTCCAGTAGCCGTGCCTTGGCCACTTCTGAACTGGATACTTTTGGATGCTCTTGCGCCCATCATCAGGTGTGACGTATTCCTTAGCTCACATGGAAGGGACTTGTTCAAGCACGGGTCTGCCACCAACGCTCTCACAAACCCGTAGTTTGTGCGTGTCAAACTTGTGTTTGCACGGTGAACTTGTCTGGAAAATGTGACTACCATGGACAGCCGGCTTCTTCTCTTAGCTAAAGGCTTTGACTGGAAGGTGGCTGAAGCCTGTGATCTGGTTTGTTGGCAGAAGACATTATATGTGTTTATACTTGAGAAAGGAGGGGACGAAAGCCAGCCTCCGTAAGAAGACATCAATGATGCTAATGATGCACCATTCAGCGTCATTGGCATCACTCGCATCACCAAGACCCCTGACCGTCTCTCTTTTTTGCTCTGCTCCAGTTAACCCCACCCGGCGGACCAGGTTTGCAACCATTTCCCCCCACCACCCAAACCAAGTAGACCCCATTGAATTCCTGACTGATGAGGGGGCAAAAATTTGGTGCAGCTGGGGGGGATCAGAATGTGGGAACCTCCCAAAGCAAAACACCCGTCAGTTGAGGCGAGCATCTTTGGTTCTTGGGCCGTGCCCTTTCAATAGCCTGGGCGTCCTGGGTGAAGCTAAAGGCGTAGCCTCCCAAGCACAACAATTGCTTTGCTTTTCGAACATTGTCCCCGGCTTTGTGTACTTCCTTCGTACGAGTTGCAAAACTGAGACATCCATCCTGCGACGATTCTGTGACGATTCATCTTCTTGTATCACAACAACCAAAGACAACGGCACCCCCGACCTATCACAAAGGATCTACCACAGTTGGTACTTGCTACCAGAGTCGATGTGTCTTGTTTCCCTGTCCTTCTGACAACGGGATAATTTATAGATTAATAACTGAGGAGTCTGTTCTTTGTGCGCTCATTTGTCTCTGGTCTTGTGGACGTGCTTTGCTGTTGTTATATGATGTTATATGTGTGATGTGTGTTACCTTTTTCGGTGTATTTAGTTTTGAAAGATGTTAGTTTGTCCCATTCATTTGTTGTTTGTTACTGGTGGCTTTCCACTGTGTCTTTGGTTCTGCACATCCACAAGCTCATCCCGCGTTAGCCGCCGCCCGCGTTAGCCCCGCTGCCTTCACCGGACCTGGCGCCGGACAACCCGTCTCATCTCCAGTCGAGCGGTCTCAGCTTGGAGTTCGGGTGAATTCCTAAGGTAGTGTCCTTTGCTCCTAGTAGTAAGAATGCTCCTAGTAGCGATGCCAGGAGCCCCTAGTAGCAATGCCAGGAGCCCCTAGTAGCGTCCTTTGCTCCTGGTCCTAACAATTCACTCGGCCATTGTTGTTGAACCACGGCACCAGTGGACCAGTGGACCAGAATCCAAAGCCCGCTCGAGTCTACGAGTGGCCCTTTGCCACAGTCCGAAGCCAACCTGGCCAAGAGTTTTTGAGTGTAGGAAGCCGCATGCCAAATCCTTCCACCTTGAAGGGGACCGGAAGCACACTAAAAAGTGTCAGAAACTAACTTTGTGTCGCAGTCTGGCCACGACGGGCTCAAATTTTAGGTTCCCGTGACCCACAACCGAACGCCTTGGAAGAAACATGATTCACTAGCTCTCCTGCTCTCTGTAGTCCTGCTCCCTGTAGTTGGCCTCCGGTGTCAACCCCCCTCGTCTTCAACCCACACGCCTGATTGAGGCCTCAACCAGGCAGAGCGCGGGACGGAAAAGGACCACTGTCCGGGTCGTCGCCGGCGTGGATCTGGAGCTACAGCCAATGGTTCTTGGTGCTTCTCTACGTATCAATGTATTTTGTCTGCACGGCCCCCATATGGTTGCGATCTGCAGATCAAATGTGGTTCGAAAGGGAGGCGCAGAACGAGGGGGGTCAATTGCTCCCACGCATCAATATGAACATGTAAACTCTTTCCAGGAAGCGCGCTGTACCCTTCATCGTCCCTCATCCAAGCAACCGGGCCTCACCAAACCCAAGCTCGAAAGCACTTCCTCGGAAGGCTATGCAAGACTTCCTACAGCACATCCTATGTTGCAAGTATCAAATATGCAAGCAGCAAGCATCCGATTCTTGTAATCTACAGCACAGCACAGCTTGGATAGCTAGCCATCTTGCCGCCAGTCGGATAGCACCTGCTGCACTTAGTGTGGAGAACTCTAGCTTCATGCCGGAAACACTCAGGCACAGACCATTTGTTGTGTTGCAGGGGACATGCTGGCACTGGTGCCTGTGGACGGCTTTCTCTTCTCTTCCAGGACTTCTCATACATCAAACTGACCAGAAAACAAACGCCCATAACTTGTAACATCAAACCATGGTACTAGTACTGTATACAAATACAGGTTTCAGGGGCGAGGATGCAAGGGTCAGGGATTGAACCGCCGCTACATCTGTAGACCTGGTGATGATTTGGTTTTTCATTGCTGATGCCTTTTACGACCGGGTCGCTGGTTGCCATGGTGTTCCTCTTCTTTAAAGGTGAAATGAAACTAAATACACGTCTTCATACAGTACTTCTTCCAGATTCACATGATTTTGCCCTCTGGGGAGGGCTCAGCTCCAGCTTTCATCAAAGGAAGAACGTCCTGTCTAGCGCGCACGTCCGCCGGGTTGTCTACCGGGTTCTCAGTCCTGTCAGAGTTGTTTTGTTCGAAGCTTTGCCCAAGCTAAACAAATCTGTTGTTCCATTGTGTTGGGCTGGGGGTGCCCCTTGCCACAAGCCTCCTCTCACAGAATCGTTGAGTCACTAAATCTGAGTCAACCAATTCGCTGAAGACATCAGAGGTGGCTGGCATAACCAGCCCTCTCATCGCCTTCTCGGCTCAGGCTTGAAGCCTGGGCCGACGCTGAAGGGCGAGTTCACCAAAAGGAATGCACAAAACGTTGTGGTGATCAAGTGAATGGAAACGACTTCAACTATTGTCCACATACTTGGATGGATTCCAGATTCATAGATTCCATTACACATTCTATCATCCTTCGATCTATTCTTCGGTCACAAAAAGAACATCTGAACAATAGCGTAAACTCCTGGTGGTCATTTACAAAGATGCCAAGCCTAATGTCTCACCGACAGGCCAACAGACCAGCCAAGAAAAGTAATCTGCTCCGAGCAGCACTCCGCACGTTGTTCATTGGATGCCCTTGGTTCTCCAGCTGCCCCAAGTCAGCCCGTGCCTGGAACGGTCACAGAAAGACCCACAGAAATGACCACCCAACCAACAGAGCGGCCACATCGGACCACTTCGATCTACAAATGCCAGCAACAGTGTGGGATAACATGCATTGGGCTGTGACTGCCTGATCGGACCAAAATCAGCAAGAGGCTAGCGGCTAGAATATCTGAGTTTGATACAAGCTGCGACAATTGAGGTAACCTAATCCAGACCTTCCACCCAAAATTGGTCGAGTTCTTGCATCCCACCTGCACCAGACTTCGGCGTAGTCGATTCACCTCTGCCTTCAGCTCCTGTCACCAGTCAAGTGGCTTTGGCAGTGACTCAACTGTGATTCGCGGGTCCTTTGTGTACAACTTGGACACATTTGGACACATTAATCCTGAATCAATTAAGGTGATCATCCAGGATCCAATGGATGTCAACATGTGTGTGTGAGGCAATCGAGTGATCACAATAGGAGGCCAAATGGTTTTGGACGGACGAACGTCCATTTACAAACATGTTTTTTGGAACAATATGGGTGTTAGCCATTGCCAAACCAGTTGCGCCAATTGGAGGTCTTCCACACAGGCGTCCTGAGATTCAATTTCATCCAGCTCCCAGAAGTTCTCACTCCGGATGGATCAAGGTAATTAGCAGCTATCTATCTCTACTTGAACCCGCAAAAACATTAAATCATCCGGCCAGTCCCGGCCCTTGAGAGCCCCGACAATGACCTCTTCGAAGTGTTTGCGATGCGATTGGCTCATCTGAGCCAGATTTTCTCGAGCGCCGCTCGCGTTCTGCATGCCTCTGAAGCGGCCGGCAACGTGCACAGGAAAACCACACGAAGTGAAGCCCAAGGCTTGAATGATTCCCACTTAGGCAACATGTGCAACTGGAGGTTCCCCCACGATTCGCAGCGCTGTCGAACCAGAAACAAGTTTCTGTCGCCGTGGCATGTCCAGTTGCAATCCCTGCAAGATAAGGAGGCCAAAAGCAAACAGTATGACGAATGACAAACTCAACACAGTATATTGGACATCATATAGGAGAATACATTCCACCAGGTTCCACCGACTCACAGTATCATTTCAAACACACCATCGGGCACATATTATGGCGGCACGTTCCGCTCATGTCCGCGCCTAGTGTCCGCGCAAGCATGACATCTGGATTGACCCCATCAACTTCTGAAGGTTCAGTCCTGAACTACTCCAGCATCTGTGAGGTGGGGGAGTCACTGATATGTGGAGGAAGACATAACCAGGGCAGTAGCCAACTGGATTCTGGATTGGCCAGTTGTATAAGGCTCTTAAACATTTGGCTTGAATTGAACACTAAAAAGAAGAAACTGTAAACGGATCTGCATACTTATATACTTCCCAGAATCATTCCCAATTTGAATCCATCCTCTAAGAATCACAAGATGGAAACACCAAGTTGTACAAGAAAAGACTCTTGGCACCAAGTTGTACAACTCTGATCCCACTAGGGGCTCCTGGCCTTACTACTAGGGGCAAGGACGCTACTAGGGGCTCCTGGCATCGCTATTCGTAGCTTAATTTACTACTAGTAAGAAGAAGCTACTAGTGCGTCCGTAACGACCACTAGTAACGACCGCCCGCCGGACCAGGAACGACCCCCTCCTGGGACTGGGTCTCAAAAGCGCTGGGACAGACCTGTCGAGCACTGCACAGTCCGTCCAGACCGTCGGTCGATGGCGAGACGAAAAGAGGATCCGAGGCAGCGAGGCAAATGTATTGTTCAAACATTCACAAGGAAACTGAGCCTCTTCGCTCTAAGAACCTGTCCATGAAAACAACATACCTGTGCTGCTGTGCTTCACATCTGCTGGAATGCTAGGACAAATTCACACAGAGCTCCGATTCCATGTCCCATATGTCCCATGGGCCTGTCGTCCTCATAGCTTTCGATTGGCTCAGGATCTGGAGCTTCGAATGAGGTCGACTGGCATCGCGCGCACGGCCGCCACCGGCGTGTGACCGCTCTCTGGCGCTTTCTCCAGGCGCCATGGTTCCACGGGAGGTCGTGACCCATCTGACCCCAGAGGTCCTGGTTTGCTCACCGGGTGAATGTGGACCCGAAACATCAAGGTGGGCTTTGTGCATGTTCATTTAGTGTGTCCAAAGCAACAGGACAGGGTTTGGCAGAAAAGTCGTCTTAGGATGGTTTTGCAAGGTTGCAGACTGAGCAAGAAGCACAAGTGTCACAAGAATGGAAGAGAATGGAAGAGAGAGTTTGCAGGTCTGCAAGCATGGCGTAAAAACTGTCGTGTGGTCTACATCGGCTAAGGTCGAACTGGGATGAACTGGATGAGACGAGAGATCAGTACATCAGCACATCGAGACTGCAATCTATGCTCAAGATCTCCCACACAATCTCTCACACACTCCGCACTCGCACTGACACGTGTTGGCGGTTTGCCGTTTCGTCGACCCATCCCCGGCCTCCTGGCTCATCTCTTCCTCCTCCTACCAAATGATAAGAGGGATCGTACAGAAAATGCAGCCAGCACATTCAACTGAGGAACTCAGCTAAAATCAATCAGTTTGTACGGTCAACTCACGTACAGTCAAGCAGCTTGTAATGTGATGCTGGAAAAGGTTGAAGCAAAGCACCGAAAAAAACGCACGGCCATTCAACCCCAGTCACTTCAACAGGCTGAAACATGGTTCTTTTTGCTTTTCTATCAAATACAGTCAGCTGAACCGCAAACTTGCGATGTAAAGAATGAAGTTGATGCTGAGTTTATAAGCTCCTGACCTTGTTGCAACGACTCTCCTCTTTACAGGGATCAGTTTGTTTTAGTTTAGCCGTTCGATTCATATCCGAATCTGTCACACTTCAACTGTTCCCGTGAAAATATCTGGGTGAATTCTATCGTCTGAGTCTACTTCAACTTGAAAGCCAGCGCCAATCCCCATTCTCCCCACGCCTTCCCTGCTGCTCAGCTCTGTGTTTTCCCTCTGTCCCGGCGCCTCGAAGTTTTCTTGTCTTGTGGAGATCTCCTCGTGAGTGCTGAAATTGATCTTCTGGAGGCTGATGCTGAAATCACACTGACTTCGAACATAGGAGCACAGACCAGAACGAAATGGTTGGACAGCGGAATATTGTTGGAGTCGTCCATCTTCGTTGAATCATGAATCTGAAATCTCCTAGCCCCGTCTCCCTTGCTGCAAAGGATGTGCCCCCTAGCCCAGTCCTCCAAGATGTCCTGGCAGTGCAGAACAGAAGTGAGGTACGATTCTGTCGCGCATTCACATGGCCACCGCTTAAGAATTAAAGAGCGACTTCCTACTTGCGACCGCCAGCAGAATTGATCCTGTGAATCCTGTTGTGACCATGGAGCTGCAAAGAGCGGATTGTCATGCTCTCGCCGATCTGAATTGGGATAGCTGGTTGAGGCTAGTTGTGGGCCGTGAGATTGCTCTTCTACGAAATGATGCGCTTCTTTCTTTTCCTCCATAACCTGCGTCAGGTCGCCGGCGCGAGTTTCTCTCCTTCCTACAGTTCCTATCCAACTTAGGCCTCAAGTAATCACAAATTAAAAAAAAAGAAACTGAATTGAATTAGTTCTTAATATTGTTGTTGTATCTATGATCTATAGATATGAAGAGACGGGAAGGTGTTCATACTATTTCACACTGAGTTCTGTTGCTTCACACCAAGTTTGCTCCACTCAAACTGAGTGTGAAATACCTTTGTGAAAAAGGTGGATTGTTGCAACCGGACACATTCACGCATCGCACAGTTCAATTTGTTGAAAGAAATATGTGGCTGAGAATCATCTTTCTGCTCAATTACTTCCATGTTTTTGCCATGCTTGCTGTGGTCCAGCAGGGGCGTGGGCGTCCCCTCTCTTCTATATTGAGTTTCCACATGCCCCAACAGTTTGAGTCTCTTGTCTTCTCAAATCTCAGCTTGACTGTTCAAAAAACTTTCTCCCGACAGCCAGTGCATTCAAAACGAATGTGCTCATTGTGCTTCGCCTACTTGTTGGAGTTGTGTCGTTGAATGAAGTTGGACTTATTTGGTTTTGTAAATGTTCTAAGACCTTTAATTAAGTTGAAAGGTCCTTTGAGCCATTGCCCCGCTGCTACAGTGGACTTCAACGTTTCCAGGCCATACAAATCGTTGCTCGTAATGACGGCGTTGTAAACACGCAATTTCCACTTTTTTCAATCAAGAATTGTCCAACTTCTTGAGGACCACCATTGCTGTCGATGTATTCTTTCTGATTTCGCATTTAAGTTTAGTTATTTCTGTGACGCAACATTGTTGCTTCGTCTGTACACTTCATCAATTCACCATCGCAGAACCGTACCCTGCCCTGGCGATTATACGTCAGTGCTTAAGATTTAAGTCAAAAAATTATGTTGAAGTCGATCTTCAACTTACAGTGCAGACACAAATCAACCAGACTCAATCAAGCATGATATTTTACGAAGCCTTCACTCACCTCTTCAGTCATTGAACTGCCACGTCGTTCTTCCTCCCTGTTCCCACCACAACCCGCCTGGATGGGCCGCTCCTCATCCGGCATCTCCAAGAGTCCTCAGCATCGCTCGTTCACCGCAGCCATCGCTCCTCCGGTCCGCCGCAGTCTGTCATGGTTCGCCGAGATGCGGGTGCGGAAGCCAGCCTTCTTCCGAAGGTCATAGAGACTGGCGTGGTCGCAAACAGGACGTCAGGGAACCCACGGCGGTGGGGGCACCGGAGTGTTAGCTCACGCAAGGGAACTTGCTTGACACGTACTGGTAGCTTCACGCAGCACTCCAACAACAACATCCCCGGAAACCAAACAAGTGTTCAGCAAGCTAGCTAGCCCGTGCAAAAAGGGGCCAAGCTTTTCTGTCAGAAACTTTACTCGACTCTCTCATGCTTTGGGGAACACTATGTTGGGGAAGAACTTCTATTCCTGGACTGATTGAAACAGATCGTGCCGTAAGAAGCCATCCAACTTAGAAACGGATGCACGCGATCTTTTGCGCTTGCCAAAGATGTGCAACGAGAGAATAAGCTCCCTGTGTGTTGGCTGCGTGGCCATGCTTCTGCAAAATCAACGTGACAAGAGTCGAAAAAGGCATCAAACGATGCAAGTCACGCAAGTCTGATGACTGTAAATGCCTGCGACCGGCCCGCCCTGTACATTGTCAAGAGAAGTCTTGTACGGCTCCACGATGCAAGGTCTTTATCTGTCACTTGCAGCTGCACGCTGCTGTGGCTGTCACTGCAAAAGCTGCAAAAGGAGGGCATGGAGAGAGTGAGCCCCGTTCAGTTGGCGTCTCTTGCAAACGCTCATGGCATGACTTTGCTGTTGCAAAGGACCAAAAACCTAGACCCACAACTCCGCATGAGCTTCGCTGAAAGATCCAGGGTTGAGGTCTTCTGGTTTCCCAGTGGCACTTTCTACCCCATGGCACGGGGACTTTCCCCGCAGCATCTGGGGAGCAAGCTCCCTGTGTGTTGGCTGTGTGGCCACGCTTCTCCTGCCCTCCAAGCAGCAAACTCAGCTTGACTGTCAAGTCTTGAACTGCTTCAAGATATTAGTTTCTTTTCTACTTGAGGAGTACCCTGCGCCCAATGCAAGAGGACCTGAAGCGAGAGCTCTTGTTGCCTCCCACTGTTTGGCGGGGGTTTGCCACCACAAGCTGCCGAGAAACACTGCATTTCCCCATGAGAATTGCTGCCATTTCTACTTGCTCTTATCCGAATGGAATGCATTTTGTCATATTGGTGAGAGGATTAGTTGTCGTTCTAGGCCATTATTCAGGATTGAACTCTAACAAATCGCATTTGCATGCATTTGCAGGCAGCCAAACGTTTGATCAGGGAAGCAGCTACGGGAATCAAAGATGTAAGAATCGGCCACGCCCCTTCCATGACGCTACAATTGTTTGTTCTTTGTCTGGCACCAACAAGGAGGACCAGGATTCGCACCAGTTGTGCCGCCTTTCAACTGGTTAATTCTAGCAATTGTGAGTCACAGTGTCCAGTACCCGAACCCAGATATCAACACGCTGCAAGAGGGGTCACTCAGGACTGGGGCAATCTCGCCGTTGGACATCGGGTCAAAATTTTCGATAGCTCATTTGACGGTTCAATTCCACCAAGGCACTCGACATATCCACGGAAGATGTTCCTCAGCAAAAGCATCATGGCCTTAGCTGCTCAGGCGCCACAGCAATTCACCTGTCCCAAACGCAATAAATGGGTAAAATGCCCTCTCCAAACAGTCTTCAGAATACAATTTTTCACGTGAAACTTTGGGACTCAACTGGTGCCACATCTGTCACCTTCAGTGCTCAGGATGCAGCCATGTACATCTCCTGACTGCAGCGAGCACAAGCGGTTGCACAAACAGTGTTCCAAAACAGCAAACGAACATATGACATAATAGATTAAAATCTGAGCATTTTCTGCCATGAATAAACTAGACAAGATATAGATATAAACACAGATATATAGATATATATTATATATATATAGAGACATAGATGTGGATATGGATATAGATTGTATATATCGACTAGACAATATTACAGTAGATAGATACATATTAACTTTCCAGGGGGGTCTTGCTAGAGATTTTATAGTCATATTTTGGCGTGGGTGACCCCCAGGGCATTTGTATGAATTGAGACGCTGTGACGTCACAACTGAGGTTCTTTTTGTATGTATGTCGCAAAAATTGCAAAAGAGCGCGCATGTGATATCGGTTCCTTTTTCGCCACGCCCCCAAGTCTGCACTAATCCTTTGCCATCCATCCCTCTTGGACAGCCAATCTCATGGACACCAAATAGGTGGGGCCCCAGCCCCACCTTTTCTCTGAAAAAATGGCATGCCTTCACCCCCTCACCGTTGCACAAAAAGGTCCACATACCCACCTACTGCCCCCACAGGCTGTGGATTTACATCCATGTTGCACGCATCTTTTATACAGTTGTTGATTTCATTGCGCAACATCATGGTAAGGCAAACTGACGGCGGGGCCTTTTGAACAGCGGGGCGGACCAAATCCTACCAAAGGACAGTGTGGAAAGGAGGACAGTGCCTGGACACAGAGCCCAGCCACAGAGGACAAGAGGAGGACAAGGCCTGGACACAGAACAGAGCCCAGCCACAGAGGACAAGAGGAGGACAAGGCTTGGACACAGAGCCCAAGTCCAATGTACGCCCTCCAATGTCCCGGGACAGGCCGCTCAAAGAAGGATGGACAATGCCTTCCATGGTTGCCCCATTCACCCTGGTCAGTCTGACGGAACCATCAGCGCCACTAGCTTCAGCAAAGGTACGCGCCAACACACTGATGTCATCTACCCCAGCTAAGTCGAGTTTGTAGCTTGCACCAAAACCCGAATTCGCCAAGGATTCGGAAAGGTTGTCAGTTTGTCTTACTTTGTCCGGCTGTTCCAGGCCGAACCTTTTGGAGACAATGAAGAGGGGCCCCACAATTCGGGCCAATTCCGATTCCGAGTGAGGCCCCCATAGTGATTTCCCATACCGCCGCACGCACCTCAGCAGATTGTGGATCACCTCTCTTCTCGCCCAGGATTTTTCTGCGCGACCACCGAGCAGACTTCATCAATTGCACCTCTGTCACGGCTGCTTCAGTCTCGTCGCTCCTGAAAAGTCCAGTGGGAGCACGGTTGAGCTGCAAGCAGTGTAGACCTTCATCAGTGATGCCCGCATCACGACACATCTCTTCGAACAGGAGAAAACGTTTGCCAGCTACCACAGCCTGTCGGTCTTCGTCCAGAGCAGCCTGAAGTTTGGCCCCGGCATCTTGCAACTGACTGGCTCTCGTTTCAGAATGCTTGAAGGCTTATCATCCAGGCCTGAAGAATCGTCAAAAGGGTGGCTAATCTCCAAAGATCTTGCTATGAACTGTTCATGAGTACGCCAGATTCCAACTTCTATCTGCCAAAATTGCTGACTTCCTTCAACATGGTTCTTCCCGTCTTGGACTTGGAAGGAAAAGGAATGCCCAAGACCGCACACTGAGCTTCCGTCAGGGCATGATGCGCCGGGAGCTCCAGTTGGAAGTCGGCTTTTTTGACTTGAGCGTACGCAAACTCTGGAACCAACGCACAACGATGGTCACCTCAAGGTTAGCTGCTGCCATGGAAAGAAAGGTTTTTTTGCCTCTTGGAAGCAGGTGGAGCAGCGACCCAAACCTGGGCTTGGGTGGCTAAATGCACGATCAGGTTGGCCACTTCATTGCATAGCTGCTGAGGGCAAGCGGCTTCGTCAGCTGTAGCAAAGTTCCACTTGTTGTCAATGCGTTTCACGCCCCAGCCAGCATGCTGATGGGAATTATCGCAAGTTTTGGCTAGCGTATCCAAAACACCAGTCGACACATACCAACTCGACCATTTGTTGCGCGAACTGCCCCACATGCACTGTTGGAAAGCCACCTCGTCAAGAAGCCCTTCGTCAATCAGTTCACGAAAAAAAGGAATCTCCCATAAATAGCTACGCGTCGAGTTTTCAACAGAGATCACCACACGACGCTTGACACATTCTCTCACCAGGCGTGCAATGTTGTAGTAAATGGCACTGGCCGTAGCTACCCCGACCTGCTCGTCGGGAGAGAGATGCGGGAGACCCAGCGGAAACATTGAAGAGCGCAAAGGTCGAGGCTCCGGGGCTCCAATACGTTGAAGTCGTCGAGGCAGCTTCTTTTCGCGAGCCCGCGACGCTGTACTGCAATACAGCGTTGAACCTGCTGTCAGAAGATATTGACCGCGTAGTCAAAGCCGTCGTCACTCGCCAAATCAACACTGATGCATGGGTGACACTGTCGATGTCGATTTTTGACATGATCGATTGCATGCACTCTGAAACCTTTGGCTGCCAAAGTTGCAGACAATCGGGCCGAGCCGGCGCATAATTCAATGCAAAGTACTGAGGACGCTGGACAGCCGGAAACGTTTTCAGGCCACGCCCTCTTCTTTGTTGCCTCTGTGTGTCACGCGCCACTCTTTGCGTGATCACGCTGCGAGTGTGCCTGCTGACATCCCCATTTGGAGCATAGATGCCAACCTTTACCACAACGTTGGCCAGCAGTTGCCTTGTTGCGTCCACCACAATTGTAGCTGAAACAAATGAATTCGCCTTCGGCGTCATAGCAGCTTGTCCCAGAAGTTCTTGGGGCATTTTGATGGAGGGTGAACTTCGGCCACCATGGTGAACGGGCTGCAAGTGAAGTCAAATTTCTGGGGCTACGATTGCTTTGGCAAGTGCATCTTCCAAAGGCATGACAGTTCCTGCTGGTCGGATTCCATTGCGCGTCTCTCTCATCAGAAACTTGAAGAGTTCCATGTCAGCTCGATGAACTTGTTCTATGGAAACACGTCGATAACCATCAGGAGGGGTAGTCGTGTAGGCCTCTAGCAAAACCTGTGTTCAACGCTCGAACTTGTCGAAGGAGCTTGATCAAAAGCCAGTGATCGACCTTGCAGAGCATATCGAAGCTTGAGATCGGATGACACATCTGCCTTGACCTCTTCCTGGACTTTACAATGCCAGTTGAGTCGGGACGCCATGTGGGATCTCTCTTCAATCCCATCAACTCTTGGGTCCGGTTTGTGCACTGTTCCCATCAGAAGTACTTCAATTGGTTATCCTCGGTCATCTGAAACACAAGGTCTACCAAAAGGTGACTTGGCTCCAATTCGCCTCACAACTCCAAGCCAGGCAGCCTTGAGGCCTGCGATTGGTGCCTCGCAGCACTTTCTGCTTGCGCTAATTTTCGAGGGGCATCTTCGTCTTTTCTTTCAATCTTGGACTTCAAATCAGCCGCGGTGAGGGGTACCATTCGCACACCAGCCTCCGAATGAGTGGCAGAACGCTAGGCGTTGGTGGCCTGGCCTCTGCGACCTCTTCTGCTAACTTGATTCGAGGAGTCTCATCAGCCTGTCCAGGCTGAAAATTGCTTGCAAATGCAAGCTTACCATAAGTGTTCCAACCTACATTATCCAGCCGAGCGCAAATGGCATCCGAAAGGCCAATCTCCTTGGCTCTATTCCTTGGGACTGCTTCAGAGTCCAACATCTTGATAAATAATCAGGAGGCTACGGAAAACCCAGAAAAATAGCAAAAAATCTGCTCAACTCAAAGAAAAATGGGCACAGCAAAATGACAAAAGGAAGCTTGCAAATGCCCACTTCGCACTTGAAGAGGTTAGCGCTTATCAGATTCGAGTCACACTGACAATGAGACACGCACACGCAGAGCTATATCTTCACACATCATTCGGGTCACCTTCAGAAGCGGCAGCCTCGTCGGGCTGTCGGCGCTTGCAGCTGGACATCCCAGCGCGCAGGCACGCCGTAACACAACTTTTGCAGCTGCGCAGTGCCCCGTACTATTCCAACTAAGATAGTACGAACATGTGAGCACATACGCACAACTTGCAGCACATTGCTGCTAGCGCCTGCACTTACTTTTGTCATGTGCCGAAACAAATTCGGCACTTAGGCCACGCCAGATCAGGATCCTTCTTGTATATCGTGAAGGTGTTCCCAACAGGTCTGCCACAACAAGTCTTGCGCATGTCGTCAGAACGTGCAAAACGCAACACTTTCATTCTGACATGTCTATACATTCGGTCTACATCAGCATGCGGGTTAAAGCCTACGTTCACCTTGCCTATCAAGTCCTCTTCAACGGCAGCCATGCCTTCCTCTGCTGAAGCGCTACCTGAATCACTTGACGAGGAATCATAGTCGCTTGCCTCGTCTTCGGACTCCAGGTCGCTTGAGAGCTGTTGCGCGCTGACTGCATTGCACGGAACATCCAAGCTACTGAACTCACCTTCCGTCAACCAAGCTACTCTGTCACGAAAAAGTGCATACGAATCCATATTCTCCCAAGCCTCCCTGCCCATGAAGAGCTTCGCAGCCTCTTGCGCGCTGTGCCCAGTAATCTTCTCGAACTGAACACGTACGGACTCACGATCCGCTTTCGAAGGGAATTGTTTTCCTCTCACAGCAAGAGGTTTGAAAGCACCTAGCTTGACTGCGTCCAACATTTTCATCATGGCCCTGACTGGGCTGGCGAGCGCATCTCTGCTATAGTTCAAGGCAGATGCATGTCCCTTGAGCCCAGCAACTCGTTCTCTTCCAGAGTCAGGCCAAAGATGTTGGTGTATGTCAGGCCGAACGAAGTAGTCCGCAAAATCTTTGCCAAGCATTCACCAAGCCGTTCTGTCATCTCAGCAGACCCCATCTTCTCCAGGGCACCACACATGTGTGATGCACATGATGGAAAAACAACGATCACATCATTCGTAGTTTCAGGAGGTTCTTCAGGAATTGTGTCTAAGTCCAAGTAGTCTCTTGCTTCGATGAACATATGAAACCACGGCAGCCCCACCAGGCCATACACTGGGACAATAGGAGGCAGAAATCTTGTCTGCTTCTCCGGGGTTCTTGCAGTCTTGACTCGGCACAAGCTTCCTTCAAAGTACTCACCCACAATCCTGCCGCGACTCATACGGTTGCAATCGCTGACCCTCAGTCGTCCGTACAAGGCTAGAAGACATAGGCCTGCACTCCCTCAAAGAAAGTTGTCTGACGCAAAAATGCAGCGCAACTCCAAGGCGACAATGGACACGAGGTCCAAAGGAGGCGCCTGTCTCAACACACGCTTTCTCAAAAAGCAGAGACGCGCAGCTCCTTGCACTCGTTGTGACGCTGAAGCATCTTCGGCGCCCGCCCATCTGAAAACTGCAGCAACAAATGAGAGGGTGGACACACAAGAGGCGCAAACTTTTAGCTTCTCAGGAAGTCAATGTAGCGATAAACCAACTCTTCATCAATGGGAACGACAGCCACATCACCGTGGTACTTTCTAACATACGCCACAAAAAGTGCAAAAGAACTAGCCCTCAACTGCAGTGGAAGTAGACTTTTTCGCAAACCAATCCTCGACCAATCGTGTGATCTCACTTTCACTGTCAGGTTGTCCAAGGCATGCACGAAGTAGTTGTCCCAACCGGGACTCGTGTGGATGCAGCAAATTCAAGTCAACCCATTTTGTGAGGGTAGTCCTGCGTTTGTCGTCAAGTCCAGTTGTCAGGCCCTCGTGGTAGAGATTTCTAAATATGGCAGATTCAGAACAGGAGGAGCGGTATGAACCGAAGGCAAGTTGCGAGGCAAGACTATCGGCGACAACCATGGCGGAGAAAAAGAGCCAGGAGTTCCCAAAACATCTTTGAGAAACCCGGACTCCCATGGAAGCTTGGGGGTGGATACAAACTTGTTGCCCAGCCCCAGCGCAACATCAAGGGATCGAACAACACAAGAAGAAGAGGAGGGCTCCCTTGATGGCAGAGACACATTGGCCTCTAACTCAACCCTACCCCTCTTTTTCTTCATTCCTACCACTTTGGCACGCCCACCACACCCACCACTTGAACATTGTGGCGCGCAATCTCTATGCACTCAGCTTCAGTCAACAAGGCTTTCACTACATGATACTACATGCTTCCGCTTCAATTCATGTAAATCCACAGCCTGCGGTGGCCTGGTTCGATCAGGCCAGACACTTTACCCTGCCTGACAGGGCAGTAGGTGGGTATGTGGACCTTTTTGTGCAATGGTGAGGGGGTCGTCAACGCATGAGAAGAGGTGGGGCCTTACAGTGGCTGCCGGCGTCTGCTGACCTGGGCCTCAATGTAAGAAGCTGGTTACCAAAAGGTTCACACACATCTAAGGCATGTCAGATGTCTGCAACTTGGATGTGAATATATGTTTTAATGTGTTTCTACTGGTGTTGATTTATTCATACGTATTGAAAAATGATTCAATCACGCTGAAAAATATGTTTTCTTCATGTGATACTGTTTGTCTCCATTGTTGCTCGCCAGCTCTTTTTTCTATTTCAACCAAAATGGTTTCAACTTCCAACTATCAGAACAAATATATATATATATATTTATTTATCAAAAACTAACTCATATCAAAAACTTACATGGTAACACAAAACTCTCTATAAAATCACCTCTCCTCTTTAAATTCCGGGGTGTATCCCCCCAAGCACTAGCCCATATTCTGTTTTATTTTGGGGTTGCCCCCCCATTTCATGGAGGAAAAGTTAATAGGTATGTAGATAGGTGGATAGAACAGTGCCCCTATCGTATGGGAAGTGGTATTTTTCCAGGGGTCCGCCCTCGAACTCGGTGGAACGCCGAGTTTTTGCTGAAAAAACCGAGAAGATGCACGGAAACACCTAGAGATCCCGCCCCCACGCGGCGTCCTCGGAGGTCGCGCAGAGTTGGGGTTTCTCCTTGACCTGTTGTTCCACAAAGCCTCGTTGAGCCTGTGCTCCTGTGGGCTGAGATCCAACGGATGGCTTCAGTCTGGAGTGAGCAGAAGTATGAAAAAGGCCCACTCTCGCAAATGCAGATTGGCCTTTGATGGCCTTTGCACTTCTAATCTGTTATGTGTTTTGGCACGCAAGGGCTGAGTCTTAGAGCTACCTTCGACTATCTCGTGTGAACACATCGGCTCCGCGGTTGAAGTCGCCCTCGATGCTCTCCATGTCCACGGTGGGGTCTCGGCGGTCCGCCTGGAATCTAGCAAGCCAGGCTCTTGGTGGAAGTCCTTGATGGCAGTTGGCTAGCACATGTTCAACAAAGCCCAAGAAAACTCCCCCAACAGCTGGGCAACAAAATCCGCCTACTGCGCAATGGCGCTGCCGGACGTTCACCAACAAGAGTCGCATTTTCCCAGACAATGCTATCTTTAAAAGAGTGAAACTTTTGAATGAGCCACGCGAGCATACCAATACGGCATACGCTGCCATAGCATGTGTCATGTCCACATTTGCCCACATATGTGCAAGCACGACAGCACCACTACAAGTAACCAGCAAACATGCTCCGGAACCTGCTCTGGAGTCTGCCAGCAAGTCAGCGCAAAGGCATGGTCTAACTTCAACGTCAATCTCACGTGACAACATGTCAGGATGTTAGCGTGACCCATGCCAGCGCGCCAGCATGACAAAATCTCAGCCTGGCCCCATACAAGCATATCAGCGTGACAGCGTAGCAGCATGGCAACACCTCAGCGCCTCAGAGAGACACACCGTGTCTGCAAAGTGCTCCGGACTTGCCCCAGAATTTCCACCAGAACCTTCTCCGGAAGCTCTTGCTCTGGAACATGCTCCGGAACTTGCTCCTTTACCTTTACCTGCTCCAGAACTTGCTCCGGAACCTGGTCCGGAACCTGCTCCAGAACTTGCTCCGGAACCTGCTCCCGAACTTGTTCTGGAACCTGGTCCAGAATTTGCTCCGGAACCTCCTCCAGAACCTGCTCCAGAACCTGCCCTGGAACTTTCTACAGAAATTCCTCTGGAACGTGCTCTGGAACCTGCTCCTGCGGGACCTGCTCCGAAAGTCTTTACTATGGCTGAAGACCCGTAAGCTTCACTGTTGGGGAACAATGCTTCGAGAGCTTCACCATGAAGGGTAGTCCAACTAATGGATTCCCTTGCCCTAGAATGTGAAGCTCTCACAATCTCAGCAATTCTCCAGAATTCAAAGGCTGAAGGCTCGTCTGAACACTTCTCCCCAAACGAGAAACTCCTGACTTGTCGAAACCCGCCTGGGAAAATCGGCTCAGCCTGAAAAGGGAACAAGAACGAAGGAAGCGAGAGGTGCGAAGAGGATCGCTTCCAAACAAGGCGTGTACACTAGACGTGTTCATCATTGCAAGTTCAGCAATGTCACTGAGTAATTCCAGCTTAGTTTAAACGAATGAGGGAGGGTCGAATAAAGCCGTCAAAATCGTGCTCTATCAAAGGAGTGCACTAGGACGCCCCCTTCCAGCTCTTGCACTCTTTGGTCTCAGCTAAGAATCGGGCACATTGGTCAATCTACTCCTGCGCCACGGCGGGGTGATCTTCCAGTCAGAAATCCAAGTGAAACCAGCATGACCCCAGAGAAACCTTGCATACTTTGTGAAACCTATGGTGGTGCGCACATGTGCGCACACTCTCAGCGCATAGGTGCCATGAACACCAAGGTCGTGGCTTTGAATGGATGTCAACTGAGCAATAGGTCCTATGTCCTATTTTGACTCCTATCCTGTAAACTGTACACTTGCTCAGAGGGTCAAGTCTGGTTCAGCTTGGTTTCTGAAAAATGCTGTTGGTTTGGCCTCTCACCATTTGGTGCACTGACAAACACCTGCTCCCCCCCGGCGACGAGCGGAGCGGTCGGACCGCCTGAACCTCACTGCTTTTCTTTTGGACCTGGTCCCGAGCGAGCTGCCAAAGGCTGGAAGATCTCCAATCATGAAATCCACGAACGTCCTATTTGCGGTTTGGTTCTTTTATTTTGCGAAAGAAAGGGTAACAAACTGGCCATGTAATCCATGCCGTTTGCGCGTCAGAAAAGCGTGTTGCCACCTTGGCCCTCGTTCACTTAGGTCTTCGCTTACGCTCCTTGAGCTCCCGCAAGGCCCGTGAGGCTTCGACCTGTTGCCGCTGGGGGTGTGGGAGCGTTCTGGTCATGAGTCATCCAGCCTCAACTAAGCTTTCGTAGATTGCTGCTTGAAGAAAACCAGGATGTAGCTGGCCTGACAGAGGCAAGCTACAGTCTGAAATGAGCTGTAGTCACAGGATGTGCTTTGCCCTCTTATAGAAATGTGTATATATGTGTGTTCTTGACCATCAAGCGAACGGTGGGTGTTTCATTCAACGACCTTCGGCACGCAAAGCGCCTGTCGAGCTCGAGAGCGGCCGCCCGTGGCCGGCCGTGGCCTGGACGCGCGGGATCCTCCAAGTTCTCCTCCTCCGCCATGACGTTGTCACAAATCTGGGCGCCGGTCTGACCGTCTTCGTCCGAGGGAAAAGACGGGAAGACCAAGGAGAAACAACATGAGTTCACAGTGTCTCAAGGAGTTCAGGGATGTTAAAGTTGAGTGGCTGAGTAGCCGGGCCAATCCACTACGCTGGGTGGTCTCACAAAACCAGCCTCCAAACCACCGCAACTGCGAGTCGTACTTGAGGAAGTACCCGCAACGTGGAGCTTTGCCATCCAATAGAATCAACACAAGTTCAGTTTGGAAACAGTCCAACCCCACAACGTGTCTCAATTTGAGGGATCTCCCTTCCTGTCATCCCCTTCCCCACCTAGTCTGTGCACTCAGCAAACTCTGCAATAAGCCCTTTCACCCACAACTCCACATCCACCGCCTCGGACCAAGGAATCATGCCCTCTGAGGCGGCTTTGAAGTATCTCTCCAACGCCATGGTCACGGCGACCTCGATCATCGATGTGATGACGACTCATTCCAGCTTGGAAGCGAGATGTTTTGTGGAGAATAGAACTCGAATCTGGCCTGAACAGCGTCAGCATCCCCCTTTTTTACCAAGTACGAAGCCCAGAAATACCTGGTGCGTTGAGGAGGGCTATCTCATTTCAAGCAAAAATACTGTGCTTGCTCATTAGTTCGAACATGTTCTAACAAAGTATAAACCAAACAAATTCAGTAGTTGCTCATTGTGTGATGGTTGGAATCATCCTCTGCTAATCTCTTCAACCATGCATTCAACCAATCTCGCTTGGCGAAACATGTGCCAAGCGAGGCGCCATGTCACCAAACACCCCTGAGCCGACGACATCTAAGGTGGTTCTGGAGGATTTCGTTAAGCCGCTGATGTCCAAGACCCCTGTGGACACATCCTCAGGATGCGGGACACTCTTTGTGGGACGCAAGGCCTCAGGATTTAAACTTTAAAAAAGCAATGCATCGAAATGCAAAGATGACCAAAGACAACAAAGGCTAACAAAGGGAATCGAAGGAATCCAAGGACAGTCGGGCAGGCCGGAGAGTCACTTTGGAACACAAGTTTTAGTTCACTTTGGAACACAGGGTTTTAGTTCACTTTGGAACACAAAAGATGCGTCACTTTGGACCACAAAACACCCAAAAACATGGAAGGGTTAACAAAAAGCGAGATCACTTTGAAACACAACGCACCTGATTTTTTGAGTCACTTTAGAAGACACACACAGACACGGATGGGGAGGGTTTAAAGATGAAGGATGGGGGGGGGGGGGGGGGGGGGGGGGGGGGGGGGGGGGGGGGACAAGGGCATATAGAAAGACGTATTCATATACCACACCTGTTTTTTGTCTATACTCAAGAAAGGGTTAAAAGTTAAAAGATAAAGGATGGGGTGGGGTGGGGGGTGGGGGGTGGGGTGGGGTGGGTTGCAGTTAGCAACCAGACAGTGCGACTCTGAAGACGCGTTCCGAAGCGATCACATTCCCGCGTTCCGAAGCGATCGTTTTTCTGCGTTCCGAAGCGACTACCTCGCCGTCGGGGCAAGGGGTTGAACATCACGAAACTATGCGAACATTCCACCAAACGATGCTGGAGTGGGGGGCCATCTGGTGAAGGTGCGAACAGTTGGAGAAAGATGAAAACATATAAAGTAACAAGAAGCTACTAGTAGGTCTTTCAAGCTATACTAGTAACAGAACGCTACTAGGAGGTCTTTGAAGCTACTAGTAACAAGAAGCTTCCTTGGGAATCGTTTCACCATGTTTCACCTGTAGTAACAAGAAGCTACTAGGAACGGTCTTTGAAGCTACTAGTCACAAGTGCCTTACTAGTAGTAACAAGAAGCTATTAGAAACAAGTGCATCACTACTAGGAGCAAGAAGCTATTAGTAACAAGTGCCTTACTACTAGTAACAAGAAGCTACTAGGAACGGTCTTTGAAGCTACTAGTAGTAAGGACGCTATGACGAGTCTTGCAAAGTCAATTTGTACCTCCGTCCCTGTTCGAAGGCAGTCTACGGTGTATGTCACTTGTCAGACCTTGCAAAAGACGTGTGAGTCAAAGTCTCGTCCATCCAAGACAGACAATGGAAGTAGTGCACAGTGTAAAGTTGTTGAACTGTCAAAATGCCTGCGTCGGTGTTCCAGCAAAGCTGCTAGTGTGAAACCCTTCCATTGCAAGTCTTTCGTTCGATCTGAATCTCTCCATCCCTGAGGCACCCACCATCTTCACCTTTCACGACAGCGACAACAAAGAGGCCAGGAATCTCCAGAAACGCAACTGCGGCAAGCATGCAACTGCTCTTCCTCTGGACCGCCTTGCCTTGTCACTCTCCACACCCAGCATCCTGTGAATGAACTGCTCAGGTAAAGTCAAGTCGTTCACAGACAGGGTGTACCTCACTGACAGAATTAGCATTCTCAAGTCTTGCACTAGGAGTCTGGGCAACTGAATCTTGACCCAAATCTGCAACTCTGGTCAGCTAAGCGGCTACAAGGGATTGCCTATCTCAAAGCCAAGCTTGTGAAATAGCATGCTTGGACAAAAGGCCGAAAAAATGCGGCGGTATTCTCGGAGTTGCTTTCAGTGTCACGTCGTCTGCGCTCATTGGTCCAAGTGGCCGAATCCTTTTCAAGACCTGCTGCAGAGTTCGCCGGGACATCAAGTGCGAGCAAGGTCTATCTTCAGAACGCTGGCATCTAATTCGACTACAGTAACTATCTACCTATACCTAATCACTTGGCATGGACATGTCATTGTGTCATCGATGAGAAACATTGGCTGTCCCAGCCCTTAAGTCCCTTGTTGATCCTTCTCCCTGAGGCATTGGGAAGAGCTTCACTTGGAGGAGCCTATTGAATTTAGATATGTTTTCTAGTTCCCTCTACGTGTAAAGGTTCTTTTAATCAGAATACAGTGTTGAGATGTTATGAAAAAAATATATACTGTAGATGTTCAAAATGTCTTAACCCAGCATGTGGAAGACATGTTTTAGATATGATTAGTCATATGTAACAAATATATATATATATATTATTTGATGTGTATATATATATATCTTTGACGAGCATGTCTAGATGTTGTTTCAGATCTAGAATGTAGATGTCCTATCTTGATGAGCATGTCTACAAAGTGTAGATATCGTACTTGAATGTTATCTCGAATCAGAATGCAAACTATTTGATCTCTTTGGGCTCCGCATCTCTCAGGCAGGGCTGGATGAACATCGCGCTAAGAAATCCGAACCCGGCTCAGCCAAATGGCTCGTGAAAAGGCAGTGTGTGACTCCGATGACTGGTTCCCGGACGCTCTGCGAAACGGTGTGTTGCGGGATGATGTGCGGAGTTCAAGACCGGTGCTACAAAAAACAAAGGCTGCAAGTTGCGAGTGTTCGGATGGGGTAGTCCTTGAGGTGGACTTTGCGTGAGCGAATTGGACTGCGATTTTTTTGCTTGGACGTACATAGATTCGTAGCAGGTGGAGGCATTCGCAATTCGGGGCACTTTGGAACCCTTTCGCGGGATTGCGCGTCTCTGAACGCTCTCGCCATTGTGCCGTTGCAGTGGTGGGATTTCTCAGACTTGAGCAAATTCAGCCGGCACAGGTGCAAAAGACTATTCGAGGCCAAGCAAAACTGGAGCATGATCAGGAGTGCGATTTTTGTTGCGCTGTGTGGTAATTACAGTTCTGCCGGTGATTGAGCACAGCTCGAGTGGTACCTGTCTGGTGGTGAGACATCCACCAGGATGTCCTACAACAGTGTGGTGCTAAAAAGAAGTTAAAATAGTGTCGCACAAGAGTGCCAGCCAACGTTGTCATCCAGTGTCTTCCAGTGCCGGACGCCACTCAAGAGTTTCCTACATCATGCAAAAGCGGGCTGCACCAGTTCTCACTGAAGGCAAGAGTCTGCTAACCCACACTCCCCGCCACCAGGACCAGGTAACTACAGCTGAACAGATCTCAGCAATGCCTCCTTCCATTCCAAGTGGCTGCAAACCTTCGCTTCCCAACACATCGTTTCGTTCTAAACTTGCTTCATTGGGCCACCCGTCGTCCAGTTTGAATGGCCCAGGCACGGCATTATTGATCAGCTGCTTCAACACGATCATGAAGAAGAGAACGTGAGCCAAGGCCAGCGGAACCTTCGCGACAGGTCTGACCACAGTTTTGCGCAGGCGACGCAACATGGCTGCTGTGAGGGAGTGTGTGTGTGTGTGTGTGTCTCAAAAAAAGATCAAGGGGCCAACAATGGCCAATAAGGTGTCACTTGTCACGTTCTTCTCAAAAAGCTCAAAACACTCTGCAGCCTCAATGACCAGGCCGGGTAGATCCTTTAGCAGTGGCACCCTCAGTGCAGACGGCAGCGAGCAGACTTCTCACATGTCAGTGTGAGCCAGAATGGCCCTGGTTCCCTGTTCTGGGGGGGGTTGATGATTCTGAGAATGTTCCACATCTTCGAGAAAGCATCATCAAGCCAGGCACATGTAGGATCCGTGTAATTTGTTTCTGCTGACTGTTTCCGTGGGTGGGATGACCACCCGAAAACGCAACCAAAGCCACCAGAGTCACCAGACACCAGAGTCACCATGACATTTGCAGGACGAACCATGATAGGGAAAGGAGAGTCGGCGTGACTTGAGTCTGAATGCTAGATCTGCAGAGTTGAAAGAACAATCATAATATTATAAGAATTCATAATGTACTGTTTTGTCTTCCTCATTCTTTCTTACTCAATTTTTTTCTTACTCAAACCCTTGGGCATAGGACCAAACCAGGCTGCTGAGTTCCAAGATGTATGGTCAGCTCCAAGGCCCAAGCACCTAGTCTTTGGCCTCGAAGATAAGAGCATTACGAGGCACTACGTAAAACAAACTTTCATTGGGGACCCACTCATCAAGAGGTTCTCGGGGTACGAATCGAACACCATCCCAGCCAGCCGCAAGCCCTTGATTCTCCAAGTCGCCAGGAAGACTTCAGCACAAAGCCCACCAACATGATCAGCTGAACGAGGATACCTCAACCACAAATCAAACGGAGGAATCATTGACAAGATAACTGCCTTTACACTGTATATGCAGTAATGGAACAGCGTTGCGAGCACCGCCAGAAGAAAGCAGAGTAAGTAGAGCTATGACGTAGAGGGCTATGATTGCTGCACTCTTGTCTTGTTAAGGTTCGCAATCAAGTACATCTTTGAGACCGGTCAACATCTTCTCTGCGAGATGTGTGTGATGTGTGTTTACTTGAATTTATTTGTTTCAAGTCGTTTTTCTTCACAGCAAATCCTCACACATCGCCCAGACACTCCAAAGCTCCAACTTCAAAAGCACCTCATCGTCGATGGGTCTGCGACCGACCGACCGACCGACCGGCGGGGACGGTGGCCTCTCAGCACCGTGCGGTTTGGTCACGGGCATCGAAGGGGACAGTGTCGCTGAGGAAAAGGGTGTAGCCACCATAGAGGGTCATAAGGCCTCAGAGCTGGCTCAAGCATACACTGTCCGGAGGGACCTCAAGGATCTCAAGGTTGGAGAAAGTCCCATCAATCCAAAATGCAGAAGTAACATTCCTACGAAGCTGATTTTCTCGAAGAATGCTGACTTAGCTTGATGAACAGGAGCAACCATGGAGAAGTGGAAGAAGCACCCAACCCGCCCCGGGATCATGGGTTATGACACTCCAACATTCCAACATTGGGATACAGTTTGTTGATTTGTCGATGTGTCCGTGACTCATCTGGAGCAGAGAGCTCCCTAAGGAGTCTTTTCAGCATTGACGTTTCTCTCAGTGCTTTTGGATAGTTCCGTACTCGTAGCCTTCCAGCTAGAATACTGCCTAGCAGTCTAGCATCTCCCCCCCTCGCTCTCTCTGTCTTGTAACCCTGTGGCGCTGTGCAACCCTGTGTAATCACAATCGTTTGAATCGTGTTGGTTCACGGTGGGTTTGCTTCAGCATGGAAAGAACCTCTGAAACACAAAAAACACCACATCTCCGTCCAACACGACGCTCCCACCGCCTGGGACACTTCTCATGACCAGGTGCAGACGATCCGTAGAACGAGTTCCAACGAGACCTGGTTGGACACCACCAGTGCGAAGACCTAAAGCAATGATCGATGTGTCGTGTCACATGAAACCAAAGCTATCTGAGGCTCCCAAACACATGTCTTCTTCTGGTAGCTCTACTATTCGCGAGGTACACAATTTTTGTGTTGTGTATACAAGCAAGAGAGAGAGAGAGAGCAAGCCTTCCCAGCTGATCGAAATGTTGATCTCCTTTGCAGTTTTAAATGTGGAAACAAGTCCTCAGGAAAAAAGACAAAACACGGCACAACCATTGTCAAGGTTCCCAGCCATGAGGAAGATTTCGATGATCTGAATATAGCAGTAGTCGCCACTGCGGACGGTCGAGGCGCGTAGAATTGGGCATCAACAGGTTCGCCGATGATCAATGGAGCAGGTGGAAACTGACAGGGGTGAGAATGGGTGGGCCAATGATTCTTTTGCAAGATCGCAACATCTGGCTGACAAGTGCTGGAGACACATCTGGCTGGCCTGTGTGGCTGAAAAACAAATCTCCGCCCACCAAGACGTGGTCAGGGGGTCCCCTGGAAAGGACTGCTTTGGTGGAATGACTCGCAGCGGCAGCCACCTCGATCCATCCAACAGGTATCCAAAAGCCCTGTGGGACTTCCAGGAATCTTGCCGGTACCTGCCAAGGACAGGATGAATTTTGAGAAGATGAAACGCAACCCAAGAACTGGTTTTGTTTTCACAACCATCAGCACACCAACGCAACTTTTGGTTACAAAAAAGGTGGCGAGCGAAATAGTCATGGGAGTTGCAGCCTCAAATCATGAAGCGCTTTGCCAATAGCATCACCGGCAAACGGCAAATCGAGCTCAAGGGACCCGAATCATTTAAGCTCATCTTGATCAAGCAGCTTGTCACATCATTGATCCCACACAGGCTTGGAATGTAGACCGTCCACCAAAAGAATTTTCGTGAGGATCGATGTCCATGGCTTCCTGCCGAGCCCACCCGCAGCATCCCGCAAGAACAAGTCGGGAGAACATGCTTTGGATTAGCCCCACCATTCCAGCAGGGATCCTGGCGAGAAACAAAGACACATCACCACCCAGTGGGAGCTATTTTGATCACGTTGACAAAAGAACCTAGTTGAAGGATGTTGAATCCCCAAAATTCACACCCATGTGCATTGAAGGACTCTTGCAAAACAGGGTGTAATAAGGAAGAAAAATGCATCAGGATGTCTCAGATCAGGCAAGGGCGACCCAAACGAGAGTCTCATACACTTCAGTGCCAGCTATACTACTATATACTATACAACCAAAATAATTTTACGGCTTCAGAACACAGGCTGCTCACATCAGTTGTGGCACAGGAGCGCAACGAAGCGCCCGCAACGAAGCGCCCGCAGTGTGCCCGTTTGAACGGCAAAAGATGTCGATCTGTACACAAAAGGACTGTCAGTCCCATGGACTTCTTCTTTCACTTCCTTTCGCAGCTTGGAGAAGTTGGACCCAACTGAGCACCCTGCCCGATGCCATAGAGGACAAGACCTGCGATGCGACGAACGAGCTGCTCGACCTCGGGAACTCCGGAATCCTTTCTGCTTAAAGCCCGCTCCCCCCCCTCCCTACTTAATTAAGTAAGCGCCTACTCTATTTTAATAATAGCTAGTACCTTATTAGTACGCTACTAGCATGGACGCAGGATAGCTCACGCTTCTTCAAGGAAGCTCTCCGCGCCTGGGGGCGGGGGGGGTGCTTCCTTGAAGAAGCGTTTGCACTATTCATTTGGTTCCTAGATTTTAGGGACACTTAACCTTAAACAGCAAAGGCAAAGAAAGAAGCAGGAACCTGCGCTTGAACCTTGAACCTTGAACCTTATGTGAGGGAGGGTCGAAACATGTCGAAACTCGTCCCGTTTTACCCATGTCGGAGATTGAAAGAAACTCTTTTGCTTTGGGTTTCGACCACCATGAGTGACACTCAAAATCCGAGCCTCCAACCAATCAAAGAGAACCCCCATTTGGAAACCGCTGCGTACTAGATTGGTAATAGAACCCCCATGCGTCAGACAAAAGATATTTGAAGTGGTTTCACTGCACCCAGAAAGCAAACCTTCAAACGAATCTCCGACTCTCCTTTTCACCTACTCCGCCCGAGAACGGCAGCGCCTGCGAGGCAGCAGACGGTCCACAGCGTGTGGGCGTCGTTGCCACACTGTTCCCCGAAGTCAAAGCTTTGCACTTGAATCTTAGGCCGCTGTTGGCATCCGAAGCGCTGAAGAGTCCGAATGTTGGAGGCTTCCGAAATGGCCCTGTCGTGCGCTATGATGTCGTACGCACCTAATCTGTGCTTGATTCGCTGTAACGAAGCAACTCCCGAAGGGACCCTGGGAGCGAGAGAACCGACATACCAAGAATGGTATGATTTCTGAAGACCTTCGAAGAATGGTATTTGGCCTAGACTTTGCCAAACACTTTGAGGAGTCCGTGCTAGATTCACCGTGAAGTGTCCGTGCAGTTTGTGTACAGTATCAGTATCGCAGTCGGGCCTCACTCTCTCACGCCCACCCTGCGGATGAGCCACAGGTCGCGGATAATCCACCACGCCCACGGCCTTCCCCTGCGGCTCATCCGGTGTGATGATAAAAAGGCAGCACAAGTGAATGAGTAATGGACACATGTTCTCTTCTTGCATAGCACCCAGACTTCCAAACTAGGCAAAGCTTCGAACTTAGACTCTAGGATGCTTTCAATCAACAGAAATCAACTGCTGATGCGAATGATGGGTCTTTGCTCAGGCATCGCCAGTTGATGGGCGGAAACCAAACCAAACCACAACGTCACTCTCTCCTGCGGGTCCACACACATCAAGACATCCAACATGTTGAAGATTGACATGGGCAGCAGCCTCGGCGTTCTTCCAGCAAGTGGAGAGCTGTTTCTTAAGACCGCGAGCGTCAATGAGCAGTGGGTAGCAATGGTGCTTTATTCCGTGCTGTTCTCGTGCTGCAATGGTGCTCCAAAACCCATCCAAAAGCAAGTGGTCCCGAGTGGCACCTGCCTAGGCGTGCCAATCTCCGACCCGTTGCAGCTAGGAGGCAAATGGCACCAGATCAGGGAAGACTCGGAGATGCGCGCCAAACACCTGCAAAGCAAGCACCAGAAGTCTCAAAGAACCCGGTGCCTAGCATGTTCGTCCCTAGCACAAGCTCTCCTAGAGCTCGCCCGCCGCACATACAAAAGGGCGAAGCAAACGACTATGCTGCAAAATACTTTGGGTCTCGGAAAACGGCACAAACACATTGTCAATGCCTTCAAGGGACTCAAAATGCCAATGATTCTACCCATGAAGCATACGCATTCTCGACATCACTAATACCCAAAAATTGAGGCATCACTCTGCCCACCCCCACACCTCCTTACTGTCCCGAAAAAAGGCATGTTGGGCCTTGCCAAGGAAGGTGCTCCAGACAGAACCCTGGCTCAGGCGGCAGTCTCATGATGAAATCTTCCCTCCATGTCAAAGTCAAGGTCCATGTTTGCGGAGCCTCTACTTCGAGAATAGGATGAATAGGTTGTTTCACATCTGTGAAATCCCAACTAACAGGTGTTTAGGGGCTTGCAATCGAATCAAACACTCACAGCCGCAAACCCATGGCAACAAAATTGCATGCATGGCTGAACGACTGCAACAAAAAGCCTAGGTGTCTTCAACCCCCCAAGAACTTGATCTCCACTTGGGCACCCGGTCCCCAAGCTGACTGAGTGATGGACTGACTTTCCTGGCCAGAAGGTGTCTCGGGCTTTGGGGGGGGTTCGGATCCGAACCGCGGAGAACTTGGACCGGTCGGGCCGGTCTATGTATTTCAAAGGCTGTAGCAGAGTCACACACCTACCGAAAAGTGAATAGCAAAACCTGCCCCTTCACCGGCCTCTTCTTTTGAAAGACATCTGACTCGGAGCGCCTGGGATTGTGTCATCAGCACCCACGAAGCTTGGGTAAAAAGTCTATCCTTTTGAGAATGTTTGATGCTTTTCCATCAACTTCTGAATCATCAAAAATTAAAATGGTCCTTGCTCGGCAGACTCGTCAAATCGGTTGGTCTCAATTCTCAGTTCATTGGCTCCAGCTCTTCCTGCCTTTATGGGGGCTGTCATCCTCGTGCTCCTCCGCCTCATTCTCATCCTGGCCGAACTGAAAAAGCTCAGCTAAAGAACTGGCTTGTGGGAAGCTTGAAAGGAAGGAAAGAGAGGTGTAAAAGCTGTAAAGGTCCAAAGGAAAAAAAACAATGAGTCCTCTTCCTTTTCCCGGTCCTCGTGAGGTGGAAACACGATCATCAACAAGGGGTTGAAGATGAACCTCGGCTCAGCGGTGCCTGAGGTTGAGCCTGAGGTACGGCCTCATTTACATCCACACAATAAAAGTTTGCTCCCCCTACACGGCTGGGCACCTGCCCTTTAATCGAATCAACAAAGAAAGAGAGAGAGAGAGGAAAAAAAAAGAGTTGGGGATACCCACCAAATTCAACTATCAAAGGGGATACTAAAAACCGTAATATGTACATTTATGTTGGATTACATTGGAAGATGAAAGCTTGAGGGAAGTTCAGAATTAACATGGAAGTGGGCTAATCAACAAGAACGGTGGAGGTGGCTATCCAACAGAGATCTGAAAAGCTAGAATGACATTCGCTGGGAATGCACTGGGGGCTCAGCGTATTCTGAAAAAAAGCTTTTGGGCTGAACAAAACTAGCCATGCCTGGCAAAATCACTCGTTTCTGCAAAAAGAAAAAAACATTGAGGAAAGAAGGGAAATCGTAAAGTGCAAAAAGTTAATTATTGATGTCCGAACTAAAAAGAAAAGTATAAAGTTTGCCAACCTCTACATGAACTTTATCGTCTGCTTCAACCTCTTGTCAAGCTAATCTCTTCCTAGCCGCTCCCAAAGCACAGAGATCAATGCTAGGGTGATCAGAACGGCGGGAATGATGGACAGCCCCAAGAGCGCCTTCACCTGCATCTCAGCTTCGGGGCAAAAGGCACGGAAAAGAGGGACTCAACATTGAGTCCAGTCATTAATGGACTAGTCCAGAACTGGAAAAGTATCTCGGCAGGACCACGTGCCGTGCCTTTCTCAACCCAACATCGACCGGCCAAAAAGTCAACTGCTCAGCATTGTTCAGCGCTGCTCAGCATTGACCTCGATGAGATATCTCTGGCTACTCACAGGTTGCTACAAAGACATTCGTCCCACCATAGTACAAAATCGATTCCGCACTTATGTAGCTTCAAGAGAATCGAACGATGTCGCCTTCGTCGTCTTTTATCCGGTTGCGTCCGATGATCGTCGATGGCAGATCTTGGTCGATTCTCCCCACTTCTTTGTTTTGCCAAGTCCGGAGCCTGGTACTTCTTCCAGCCCTCGATCCAGCACTCGATGGGAAACTTCTTGATGGGATCCCTCAGTTCGACAGATTCACACCAACAAAGCTCAGGCACCGTTTCTTCGGCGTCGGGGTGGCGTCTCCTGATCAAAAATAAGACAGCATCGGAGAAATCCACGTCAGAGTCTAAACACTCACCCATTTCCTGAATCACGGGCTTTCCTCCGACATGTCGTGGAAGTGTCGCTGTCAGGAAGCTTATTGGATCAAACTTCACAGCAAGGGAAAGTACCAGCAGCAGCAGCAGCAGCAGCAGCAGCACTAGTAGGTTTCGAGTGACCTACTGCCTAGCCTATGATTGCCTTATCTGGGCTTTTGACTGAGTGCCTGTTGCCTGTTGCTGTACTTCCATGTCCATACAACTTCAGAGATGTCAAGGTCCCCCTGAACAACGTTGAAGTGGTTCCATACAACTTGAATCACAGACGTTGCAAACATAAGCCTCGTGCCTTCGGCGGTTGTCATTGAACCATGATCGAACAGAGCACGATCTCTTTTTAAAAGCTGAATGAAGCACCAAAAGGATTGTTGGTTCCAACAGAGCTCTTGTTTGCATCAGGATTACTTTGAACTAAATACGTTGGAGCTTGGCTAAACAAGAAAGGCAGGGTGAGAGAGCTTATGTAGTATGCTGTCGCTGACTGGTGGCGCCAAGCATGGATATTGGATTGCATAAATTGAACATAGAGTTAATACTCACAGTACCTTCGGTGGGCACATGCAACCTGTATATGTCCAGTGTTGATGGTCAAAGGTTACCGATGAAGGGTCTACTTGTAGTGATCACAAAGGAAAAATCTCAACCGAATACTGTACATATCAATATCACTACTGTATTGCAATTATGGTTTCATTGAAAGTGCCCAAGCTCACCCATGTATCATATGATAAACAAAACTGCTTTGAACGCCGCGCGCTCCCCTGCAACAAAGATTCAAGATCAATGCAGAAAGCCCCTCGAAGTAGACCTTCCACACTGCCAGACTGCTCGGCCAAAACACGTAGAGGCCGACAGTTCTAAGACATGGCCGGCCGGAAAACGTCCTCCCAAATCAGTCCGGAACATCGACCCCTTTGTGTTGCCTGGGTGTTCTGGAGATTGTCTACAATGAAGTCTTGGTAGCTCGTGACCTCCAGCTTTGGTGCACAGCTGATAGCGCACAGTGTTCTACACTAAGGAAAGCTCCAGGTCCAAGCAATCTTAGATGATGTCTTTTGCTTTGCTGGAAGCAAAAAGTGACTGTGCGCGTGTGCCTCGCCTTCACTGTGATGGCCAAGAATTGCAGGTGGTTCACCACGGCCCTTGCGGATCTTTAAGTTTAGTAGGAAAAATCTGACAAAACTTTCACTTGGAGAAATCTTGCCTAAGGATGAACGAAGAAGTCGACATGAGAGACAGACCTGGCACGGAGTGCCAAAGCCGCTGAGGCGATTTGGTCGGCAGTTCCAAACAAAAGGAAAAGGGGATGATTCATCGAACCCTAGTCGTCAGACTGAACGGGCACAAGTCGTTGTAAAGAGATATGTTCTTTTCCGTAAATGGCATGGGATTTCCTGAGAGGCTGAGAACCAAGTGCTGCTTAAGCCTGGGAGCTGACTAGTGTATACAGTGTATACTGATCATCATCACTGCTGACACAATGCAGGATCTCAAAACGATGTTGCGCCAAGATGCAGGATTTCCAGTGCGCCACCAGAAGGATGATATACATTCCCAAGTATACACCTCAGACTCACTTGAAACCTCCCAAAGACGGAAGAAAATAGACCAAAATCCATTGCTTGGGAGGTCTCCCTGCTTTAATACACTCCCACTGTTTTCCCCTTGTATAATAAGATCTCTAAGAGATCATCCATCGGACCTGGTCCAAGCGGGGTCTTCAGAGCGCCAGAGCGCTACGTCCCCACTGAGCTACGTCTTTTCAGCCCAGTACCGACTTCCATGAGGACCACAGGCCACTCAGAGGCCCAAAGTGCATCGCCTTGGTCAAAGACGATCGAGGGACAGTCGATTGGATTGATTGGAACAGCTCCTTTACTGTCTTCATTGCAAAAACAGAGTTGAGACCCGAAGCAGGTGTCATCCGGTGTCGTGTAGTCTTCCCACATGTGGCCCACTTCGCCCAGTCACAAGATCTGCAGGGATCTGCTTGTTTTGCCAACTGTAGATCCGTGGCAAAGCCTGGAAATCACTTCGATCCAGCGTCAAGTTGCTGAGCTATTGACTGCGGGAGATCAAAAACGGGAGGAAACCTATGAGCTCTCCGAAAAAGCATCTTCTTCTTCTAGAGCGAAGCATCTGCAACTGCAACGACTGGCTCCGGAGCATGCAGAGCATCTGGCCTTGGACGCAGCTACCACACAAAACGCCAGTGCCTCGGCCACGCGCAACGCATGAGCGCGTGAGCTCTTAGTCTCAGGCGTGTCACACTGGTCACGGCGCGTGTGCCCAAGGTGCCGAGGCGTTTGAGGCGCATTTTGCACGATTGCTTAGCCGCCTAGCTAGCACACCTTTGCTTTTAGCCACCGGAGGCGGGAAAGCTCTAGAATCCTGTGCTTGCTCAAGGTTTTGGAGAGGGACGAAAGACTGTGCTATTAGCTTAACATAGACCTGGTTGAACACGTTTGATTTGTTGATTATGCAAGAAGTGCATGGAATGTGATCGAATGTGTTGCGTCATGCTTGTCTTTGGACAAGCCTATATCCAATCAAAACTGTTTTGGCTACGAGGCTACGATATGGCAAGTATGTGTACAGTACATACATACATACATACATGGCTCAAGGCCATTCAGTGTTCAAGCTGGCTTCCCCTTTCAAGACCAGCTCGTGCGGCACCCTTTTCGATCATTGCCTCCCGTACCTGAAACAAGCAGGGCCCAGGCAAAAGTTCAACTACCAAACATTCTTTGCTAGTGATCTCGCTGAACAACTTCCACGCTCTTGACGAGAATCAAGGCACCTGGCAGTTGCTCGCCCTGAGCCTCATCTCCGAGATCCACCTGCACTTGTGCTACCTGCTCCTTCGGCCTTGGGGAGTTTTTCATTTACCACTTTGCCCGTGATCCCTCCATCACATCGAACCTTCCAGGCCAGTTCGAGTTCGGTGCCACAGTCATGGATTGGTGCAGGGCCCATACCCCATGTAGCAAAGCCACATGCAATAACTGGATCTGGCAGGACAAAATGTACCCAGGAACCAGGCGCCGACGTTGTGGTACTATGTGGGTGACCTCGACGACAACCACGGGCAAAGGCAAAGGATATGGCAAGCCATCAGGCAAGCTATCCAAAGCACCAAGACCATGGCCAGAAGCTCCGCCAGGTTTACCAAAGGTCAAGCCACTCAAAATCTCCAAGGTTCAGCAGGAGGCCACTGAACTACTGGCCAACACGTGGACCACCTTGACCGAGGACACACAGACGCGTTTGCAGGCCATTGGTATTGGGCCAACAAAGCCTGATGAACCTGAGCTCAAGGACGTCCTCAAATCCCATATGGAGGCACTACCACAACAAGTACAAGATCTGGTCAACAAACTGACCACGCCAGAGCCTTGCACTGAAAGAGAGATCGCGGCCAAACTCAAGGGCCGGGTGACAGACCTCAAAAACCTGTCCATGCGAAAGACCCAACTCCAGGCCAAGATAGACAATATCAAGGCTCAGTATGCGGCCCTCCTGACTGACATGCAGGAACTCCAAGCCAAGCTCACAGAAGGACAGCAATCTCTCAAGAGCTTATCAGATGACTACATGAAGGCGGTCAACCAAACACCAGCCCCTTCTGAGTTGCCGGTGGCCCATGGAGAAGCTGAACAGATTCCCATGGCTGTTGAGTCCTTTGTCCATAGCCTGGGCATTTCGTTGACTGAAGAGCAGAAAACTCAGCTGCATGGACTCCTGAAACGACCCAACAACGAGTCAGACTACACAGAACTCCCGTATGCAAAACTACGCCACTTCCACGGATTGCATCCTCCAGAACCTCACCATGGTGGTTGGCAATCCCAGCCTCCAGTGTTTTGCAAACGCTCCCTGGAGGGCATTCACATGGGTGTGTGCTTTGTTGCAGGAGACCAGCACCCAACCTTGGGGCACCCTACAAGAGGCAGTACAAGAGTCACTTGATACAGCAGAGCCGGTGGACATACAGGCCCTGCCAGGCTTGAAAGATCTCTGGAAGCAGCATGACTTGAACGTCCAAGGTGATGCCAACCACTTCGTGAACTCATTGTGGCTGCTTTCACAGAGCAGAGCTTTCCACTACCCGTTTGCTGAAATTCGAGAAGGTGGATATCTCACTGACCATGTACAGCAGCCCATTTTGGTTCCCTTTCCGGATGATTGGCCTGATGATGTTGCCTTCCAGCAATTGGTAAACAACTGGGCAAATCAAGGCATGGGACAGTACTTGATGGATGATAAGAAAATCTTGGTATGCCATGTCACAAGAAACACCTGCATCGATGGGGTGATGACAAAGCATCAAAAGCTTTTCAACCCCTACGGCACTTTCACTATGCCACGGTCCCTTGATGGATTCTCACGAACTTCAACAGAGTTTGTGCCGGCTGTGCTGATTTGTCACAGGGGACAGTCCCACCAAGAAGGTCACTACTTTGCCATCTTGATCTACCGGGACCTCATGTGGATAGCTGATGATGGCAAGGTTCCAACACACCTGCCCCACCTCACTCCAGCATTGGCTAGTCAAATAACGCAAGTATGGGCTGTCAATATTGATTGCTTCAAGACACCGCAACAAGTGCTGCAGGGACTACCGCCAGCGGAAGAACCGGATTTCGATCCTCCGCTTCATCCAAGTCCCATCAAGAGGGCCAGATATGCGCAGGAACACAACTCCCTGCACTATGCCAACGTCACCAACCTCGGCAGACAAGTTATCGACTGGTACTGGACAAGGGACAGCGGCATTTACATTTTTGTTGAAACTCACCTGGGCCCACAAAAACATTGTGAGCTCTGCCAATACTTCAGTATCCGGGGAAGAACTGTGTTTGGCACCCCAGCTGCACCAAATCAGGACCAAACGGATACTCATGGTGGCATCATGGTGATTGCGGATCCTGCATGTGGGTTGACCCAATTTCAGTCCTACACCAACAAAGGCTGCGGCTTTCAAAGCTTTCTATGGCAGGCCACGGAGACCACGATTCTAGTGGTAGGAGGACTCTATTTGAGGACTGGCGAGACCTTTCAAAGTGAGACCAACTCGGAGATACTGGCTCAACTGCTGACTCTGCTCTCCCAAACCACACATCCATTTGCGCTCATTGGGGACTGGCAGAATCATCCCAGTGCACTCGCAAGCACGGTGTTGCCATCCAAGTTCCACTTTGGCATCCTGGCACCAGACCATAGTGTGTTGTCAGGGAACACCATTGATTATGCGGTTCTGCACAACTCACTGGCAGGTACCACATCTATCCAGGCACAATGGGATGTTCCATGGAGACCACATGCAATGCTCCAGTTGACTTTTGACATTGAAGCTGCAACCATGGAGTACAGGCAGATGCCATACTTCCCACCAATGCCAAAGGTTCCTGACATCGACTTCCGGCCCTGGACAACGTACCAATCACAAGCACACCAAGTCGAGCTGTATGGCATTCCACCGAATACAGCAGCACAGTCTTGGGCAGATTGGATCTCCAAAACAGAGCAATACCTTCTTCAAGAGCACCCTTTCATCACTTGCAGGCAGTCACAAAGCCTTTGATGCTTCAGCCCAAGGGCCACACATGGCGCAAAGGCAAGCCTGCCTTCTGGGATTAACTGAAGGCGGTCTTTCATTTGGCACTACAACGGCTTCCTCCAGCGGCTCACACAAGTGCATCAGCAATGGATAGGAGCTCCAACGTGGGGACAGCCATCACTGGGCTCGCTACAGAGATCCACATCCAGCAGAATTGATCCTACAAACCATTGCTCATCAACTCCAAGAAGCCCAACAGCATGCTCAGGAAGAGAGCACCTTGCAATATCGCCAATGGCTTCAGGAAGGGCATCAAAAAGGCCTCAAAGGCCTGTTTCGGAGTCTGAAGAGTAGTGAGCTGGCTTGGGAACGACCATATCGAATGACACCCATGCCTCAAAGAATGAATCAAAGACTGGCTGATTGGGGAGGCCTTTGGAAGATAAGACAGGACAATGCCCCAGCTCCAAGACCGGATCTCAAGCAAATGGCACAACGACAAGCACAGACACTGGAGCCACTCACACAAGGCTTGCTGCACAGAACCCTGAAAGCACTTCCTGATAGAGCTAGTGGTCCGGGTGCTCAAATCCATCCCACCATTGGCTTTGACACCACTGCTCCAGTTGATCCACCACATGGAGCGCACGGCTGAGCTTCCCACCCAACTACAAATGCATCTGGTCGTTATGCTACCGAAGAACCAGAAGCTTGAGAGGCCCATCACACTCACGTCGACACTTTGGCAGCTATGGTGAAAGCCGCTCTTGGATCAATGGCAAAGAAGCTTGCCGCCTACCATGAGCCATGACAGGGCAAGGCCAGGGGCAAATGTTCTGCATGTAGCGTTGGAAAGGCTCCTCCGACAAGAGGTCACAAAGGCTCGACAGCAGCGTGGCATTACCGTACTCATGGATATGTCAACGTTCTATGACACCATCAACCTCAGCAGGTTGCAAGAGGAGGCCATTGGTCTGGACTACCCTCCACTTCTGTTGGAGCTGGCTATGCAGCTTTACTGTGGCCCAAAAGCCATTTTGGCTGAACAGGAGCTGACCCCGTTCTTTCATGTGGATCATGGAGCGCCAGCTGGATGTCCTCAAGCACCGCTGCTGGCCAAAGCAGTACTAGCTCCGGCCCTCATTCCCTGGAAGGAACAACATCCAAAGGCCCACTTGTCCAGTTGGGTTGATGATGTGGGATTTGACCTGGAAGGACCCACAGCACTCCAAGTTGCACAGCAGGCTGTTGAAGCCCACAGAGATCTCCAACAACGCCTTACTGCACTGGGCCTCAAAGTCAATCCAAAGAAAACAGCTTTCATTGCAACAGATCGAAGCACTGAACATGCACTGAAAGGTCTTCTACATGACCATGGGCCGCCAATCTCCACCGTGATGAGAGACTTGGGAGTTGATCATCAAGCAGCACGACGGCGAAGGATCCCAGTACTACGGCAGCGTTTCCAAAAGGCCAAACAAAGGAGGATCAGGTTGAGAACATTGAAGATCCCAGCCCTCAAAGTCCGCCTCCGTCTCCACAAGGGTGGCATTCAGCCAGTGGTATTGTGGGGAGTTGAATCCCAAGGTCTAGCGCCCAGATACCGCATAGCCCTCAGACAAGCCCTGGCCACCCATCTCGGCCATCACTCGG